TCAATATGATAACTTAGTTGAAATGGACCAATTTCTTGAAAGATAGAAACTACCAAAACTCACTTATATATAGAAAGATAACTTGAATAGTCCAATAACTATTTTAAAGTTGAATTCATAGATAAGATCTTCCAATAAAGAAAATTCCAGGTACAAATAGTTTCTCTGGTCATTTCTACCAAACATTTAAGAAGGAAATAATTCTATTATACATAATCTCTTCCATAAAATAGAATGGGAGAGAACACTTTCTAATTCATTTAATGTAGCCAGTATTACCTTGATACCAAAACCATACAGATATTACAATAAAACAAAACACATACCAATATTGCTTATGAACATAAATACAAAAATCTTCAACAAAGTATTAGCAAATTCAAAAATACATAAATAGGAGAGAAGATGATGACCAGGTACATCCTGGGAAGGTAAGGCTGATTCAACATTCAAAAATCAATCAGTACAATTCATCATATTAAAAGACTCAATTTTTAAAACTAGTATGTCACTAGATGAAGAAAAAGCACTTGAAAAAATTTAACATGTATTAATGATGTAAAAACCTTCAGCAAACTAGGAACTGAGGGAATTTCCTTCACCTGATAAAAAGGTTGTACAAAAAGCCTACAACTTATACCCTATGTGATTGCCTTCCCCTAAGAGTAGGTAAAAGGTAGCAACGTCTGATTTCATCACCACTATTCAATATACTTGCCAGTGTAAGTTATACTTGTCTAAGCATAATAAGTATTCTTATACTTGCCAGTATAAGAAGTCCTTGACAACACAATAAAGCCAAGAAAAAGAAAAGGCATACAGATTAGAAAGAAATGGTACTGTCTCTGTTTGCAGACAGCATGATTGTCTATATAGAATATCCCAGCGAATCTATCAAGGTCACAAGGTACAGGGTCAATATTCAAAAATCAATTGCTTTTCTAATACTAGCAATGAAGAACAAAATTTTTTAAGGCACTTTTTACAAAAGTATACAAAAATAAAGTACTGAGTATAAGTCTAACAATAAAACACCGGTGAAAGAAATTAAAGAGCTACATAAATGGAGAGAGATATACTATGTTTATGAATTAGAAAATTTATTTAGTTATCAATTCTTCCCAAATTGATCTACAGATTCAGCAGAGCCTCAATCAAAATCCCAGCAGGATCTTTTGTAGATATTTAAGAACTAATTCTAAAATTTATATTGAGAGAGAAAAACTGAAAAAGAACAAAGGTGGAAGATATATCATCTGACTTCAAGACAATATAAACTATACACTAATCAAGGCAATGTAGTATTTGCATCAAGACAGACAAATAGATCATGGTGCAAAATAGACAATCCAGAAATAGATCCACATGTACATGGACAAAGATGATTTTAAGCAAAGATACAAAGGCAATTCAATGGCAAAAGGATAATGTTTTCAAACAAACTACTGATTAATTCAAGAACAGAACAATGTTGTGACTTCAGTATTTTTTTTCTTTTAAAAATTAGGGCTTCCATTGAATAACATTAGATGAATAAAATTTCAAAAGAGATATTCTTTGGGTATGCAGAAAAGAATGTACTGGCTTTTACCTACATATGCAACAAGAGTCATTATGGAGAGCTACATGCAACACACGTGGGTTTAAAACAGCTGCAGTCTTTGGATGAATATAAATCCTGTATTTGAAATGAACAAGCATTGTATTTACTATTTACTTCCTTTTCACCATTATTTTGCATTATTTTTTGACAAGACAAATTTTTCTCCCACAATCTCCTCTCTTCTATTATTCTTGAATTCAGAAACTCTTTAAGACTAGAGTTCCCAAATGGAAACTGAATTTTTATAGCACGTAGCATTCCAAGTTTTGATAGTGTTTGTTGTTGTGTTATTGTCTGGAGAGGACTATTATTTGGTGCTCTTTTGGGGTTTTGAAAAATACAGACTTCTAACAGTGATAATACAGGTTCACAGAAGTCTGAGAGGAAGGACACAGAATTTGAATATATAACAATGGTGCATTTCAAGTTTTGCTATTTTCCTTATTACACACATAAAAATAGATAAATACAGACAGGGAAAGGTGGATGTTTGTTATTATTACTGCTGAAAGAATGCTAATTTATCCAACTCCTATAGAGATGAAAACTTAAGGAATTTTTTTTAAAGCAGACTACTATTTGATGTAGGTCTGATCTACTTACCAAGTTGTTAAACAATCCTAAAACTTGCCCTGGGAAATGCTCAGATATAATCCAATTACATTTAATTTCCATATTAGCTCTTGAAATTCTGACTAGCCAAGGACCTTCAGGTGTCCATAACTCCAAATATTAGTTACATTCTAACTTATCTAAATTTTATAGATTCTTCCAGTTTCCCTAACTAATCAACTCCTCACTCTGCTGACAGAGTATGCAAAAAGCACTTAGCACAGGATTAGATCCTTAGTAAGTGCTTAATACTGGGTATCATTATCAAGCAAGTATCTCTGGGGAATGGAAGAACACACTATGCAAGTAAACAAGATACTTACCAGATATTTCAAAATGATCACATTAAACCATTTATTGAAACCTCTCAGTATAATATTCCCAAAATCCACTGATAAAATAAGAATGAAAAATGTGAATATTTCTTTCTTAGTGAAGTTGCCACCATAACTTTTTGCTAATATTTCCAAATTTTTATAAACAAATAGCAAAAATGCAGGGGTTATGGCTCATTAACACCATTTTCTACCTCTCTCTCCCTAAAGGTGAGATTATTATCTTGAAAAATAATCACCAAAAGATCTGGAAAACCTTAAAAGCAGAAATATTCATCAATAATTGTATTACTATTGAAATGAGTGGACCCAAAAGAAAGGTACAATTTCTTGCTAGAAAATAAGAAGCAATTTAGCCCCCAATGGATATAATAGTTATAGATGCTAGATGGCAAAGGTATATAAACACATCACAGCAATAAACACATAACTGCCCCTATGTGGGATGTGACCGACTATATTCACAAATGCTTAGGAAGAACAAAGTATTTTTTCTGAGAGGGAAACAAGAGCAACAACAACAAAAACAGCAAAAATCTGACTGTTTTTTAAGTTGAAGTTTAATTGGTCCATCTGGACAAAAGTAAAGGTGGACTTCTAAACTTTCAGAAACCTCCCATACATATCAATGTCTAATGTGGGTTCTCACATTGCATATCAACAAAAACCTTCTCATTTAATACAGCTGACCTTGAACAAGGGAGGGGTTAGGGGTTCTGAAACCCTGGCACAGTCAAAAATCCAAGTGTGGCTTCTGACTCCCTAAAAACTTAACTACAATAGCCTACTGATGACCAGAAGCATAACTAATAATATGAAGAGTCAGTAGCACATATTTTGCATGTTATATGTATTACACACTGTATTCTTACAAAAAGTAAGCTAAAGAAAATAAAACATTTTTCTAATTGTCATAAACATCCAAAAATTTTCTAATACATTCATTGAAAAAAAATTAGTGAACCTGTGCAGTTAAAATATGTCATTTAAGGGTCAACCATAATAAAAAAACAATCTGTCATCATGAACTTGTTAAAAGGCACTTAAAAATCTGTTTTAGTGGCAAACTAATGCATGTACTTACCATTTATCTGGATTCTATCATTTCTTTTCTGGATTAATTTAGATTATCAGAGCACAGTACCCAGTACTTAACTTTAGTTCCCCAAAGAAAAGCTTTGTAATCTTTTTCCCAAATCAACAAAATAAATTTAAGTTTGAAAAAGTTTCAAGTCTAAGTACAATTTACCTGGTTAAAAATAAGAACTATGTGACAACTTTTCTTTTTTGCCTTAGTTACCAGAAAGTTTTGAACTTAATTTAGGGCCCAACTGTAAAGATAAGCTTGTCACAAGCACCTAGTAGTAACTACTTATTTAACTTCCCCTAGGCAGTTTCATCAGATTTTATCTTGTTTAACTTTATAGTCAAATAGCACCTACCTCAAATCCCTGTAGAACAATTCAGTAAATAAATGCTAAAGAAATCCATGTCAGGATCATTTGTTGAGCAATAAAAAAAAGTATTCGCCAGAGTTTTAATTTGTGAAATAATTTTCATAAATACTACATACAAGAAAACCTAAGAATAACTAGTCTTCACATGCAGTGGTTAATTCTGTTTTGAAAATTCACATGTCTCAAACTTTTTTTATTTAAATTAAGTACTACCATATCAACTACTTTTTTGGAAGTAAACTAACAACTAATCAAAATAGTCATGTAACAGGACTAAATATTTCCTGTTGGTGGTTTATCTGTACTATTCTTAACATGCTAAAACCTCCAAGAAGACTGATTCAGGGAAAGAAAGCCCATGGCAATATGAACTTGGAAATGACACAATGGTTGACTGTCCTCACACTGGCACAGGCAGAAGTCCCTCACTTCTGGGAGGTAAGACCTGGAGGAAAGCGAGGCTGATGAGCCTGCAGGGTTCTCCCAGCCCAGTCTCCACTGGATTTATCTACTAGCCAGGACATTCCGGGAATGGCAACCACTGTTTTGAAAGCCCCTGTCAGGCCAGGACCCAGAAATATATCCACATCATTTAATCTAGTCCCACACTCAGGAGGCATTAAGAATTTGGAACACCCAGACCCATGGCCATCACCAACCACTGCTGTCTGTACCTTTCATTCACCTGCAGTATTTTATGAGAATAAAAATGTTGGACTTCATTTACTGCATGGTAGTTTTGCTCTATTTGCTAAAAATTGGTGGAAAATTGAGCAAAAGTCATCTGAGCTTTTTACTTGTTTACTAGTCTCCAATACTCTATTATTACAAAATTAACAGAAGAAAATGGCTGCTCATATTTAATTTAGCTCATTAAGTAAATATTTTCTTCAATACTGTAAAAGTTTACTAGCTATAATTGTTAAAAAGGTACACAGACAAATAAATCTACTGATGAAAGAAGGTCATTTTTGAGAAAAATATTTTCCTTACATTATGATGATTCCATTATCAATGGAAAATGAGTCAGAAGGTAACCCAGCAATATTCCAGGCTCGAATCGTCACTGCTTCTCCCAGGGTACCCATGAGAGAATAATCATCCGAGCAGGGAATATTTCTTCTTTTACACAAGTTTGTCCACTCCTTGATTTGGTTCTTCAGGGTAAACATAGAAAATATAAAAATGAGGCCCGAGGTTATCAAACAAATACTTTATAAACTCATCAATTACATTGTATTCATTGAATTAGCAAACCATTATTGAGACTCTACCTCAAAAATGTTTTGTGTCTCTCTTTTTTACAAATAAAATTATAATTTAGAAGGTCTACTGTGTAATCAAATGAAAATCAATTCTATCCAGTGTTAAGATAAAGTTATGACAGATCACTCAATAATAAAGTCATAATTTTGCATCCAGAAAAAATAATTGCCAATTGTTTTTCTAAAGCATCACTTGACGAAGTAGTTGGAGACCATCATTTTCTACATTTTTTATTTAAATTACAGGTATCCCACAAAGTTTGATACAATATTATGGTACAAAAGTAAATCCAATTTGAACTAATAGGGGACAAAGAAAATATTTGTTTCTGGATTTCACATTCACAGGAGGAGTGACCAAGGATCAGGACACATACTGGAGTTTGGAATACCTGACCCGGGGCATGGTTTGCAGGATGTCAGGAATCAGAAGGGTACTTTAAGCCCAGGTTCACACTCAGAAAGCAGAAGTCAAGGTCCAGTTTGATGTTACAGATCAAAATGTTCAGAAATGGTGAAAGACATGACCAGAGAAACAATAGGTGAGGAAGAGGAATGGGGGCGGTGGGAACACAGGTGTCGACACCAGCCCACGGGCAGATGGAGATGCTGCGTGTGAGGCGGTGCTGCCTGGGAGGGCATGGCGGGCACTACCGTGTCTCTCGGGTTCCTGCTGAGAGGTTTGACCAACATTCCCTTAGGTTTTCACACCAAAGGCCATGACAATTTGCGGGAAGCTGATGGCTTTCATGACTTCGATTATCCTATTATTTTGTAGAATGCTCCACAATCGTGTCTATATGATGTTCCCGCATGATTCAAGTTAAGCACCTTTGGCAGGAAAATCACAGAAATGATGTGTTCTCATTGCATTCCATCAATGGTACATGATTTCAATGAGTTCATTTATTGATGACATAGATCTTTTAGTCACTTGGTTGTCTTTCAGGCTTCTGTCTCACAATTTTATGATCTTAGGTGTGATTAAAGCTATTTTGGATGGTGGGACACAACACAAAGACGTTCAGCAAGAGGAAAGACAGAACTCTTTGCCCCTTATGGCTCCAAATGAGAGAAAGCTGCTACATAGGAAGCTGCACCAGTTACAGGATAGCAGCAAGGAGGAGCTGCAGGAGGCAGTTTACACATGGAAAGCAGAGCAGGGTGCGGTTGGTGGGTTTCATGGGCTGCCTGGGGATTGGGTATTATTTTTTTGAGGGGGGATTAGGTACTTTGAATAATTCCACAGATACGGTGAAGAAGGGGCTGCCCTAGGTGTTACGTATCCGGGGGCCTCTGGAAGTTGGATGCCTGTTGTACCTGGAGTATTAGAACCTGGTAAGGGAAATGATTGGTGTGAAGGCTTAGCAATATGCCTACGACAGGGAATTCAGAGTTCTTAATCATGATTCAAAACCAAGTTAAGCCAGCACTTGTGAAATATTGTATTACAGCTTCTCCACTATTAAGTAGCTCTTTTCTCCTTTCCCTTTGTAATTAATAAGAATTTTGTAGGGAGATGGTTTGTAACTATATAAATATTCTGAGTTTTGTCAGGCACTCATTTTTTTAATTACTCAGTATAAATTTATTTTTCATCCATCACCACACACAGCTGCAAAATATTCTTCTTGTGGTAACTTTTAAGATTTACTCTCTCAGCAACTTCCAAATATACAATGAAGTATTAAGTATACTCACTATGCTGGTCATTACATTTGCACGACTTCATTTTATAAGTGTCTTTTTATTCCTTGTGACCCCCTTCACCCATTTTGCCCACATCTTTTCCTGTTTAATTCAGTGAGTTATAATAGGATACTATCATTATTTATTGCTGATTGAGCTAGCAAGAGTACCTTTAAGCTAATCCTATGTCCCTTTGACATGTTCCTATGATTTTTTGGGGGGGGCACTTTCTTACTCTTGCTCAAAAAAGATATTTCAGGCTTACCTTATAATCAAATCTAGTTAACCCAGGATAATCTTCACATTTCAAGTTCAGCTGATAAGCAACATTAATTCCATCTGCAAAGTCCTTTTGCCATGTAATGTAATATGTTCACAGGTGTAACACTAGAGGGCAAATACTGGGGGCAAAATCTTGCCTTTCATGAGTACTAAATAGCTATCATCTGGCCTTTTTGTTTGGTTTGGTAGCTAACAGAAACAGGTGGTGTGGCTATGTAGGGAAAGGGGATAGTGTTTCCAGTTTGGATTCTGCCTTCTAGTATGCAGCTAATGTTGGCATGTTTTGATCTCTCTGTTGTCAGGCTATAGGTTGGCCTGCAGACTTTGCAGGGAGGTCTGAAGGTTTTCTCAGATGCAGCTTGATGCTGGTATAGGTATGATAGCTAGTAATATGGGGAAGATGTAGAGAAAATGAAAACAATATTTGCTATGGAATGCTGTTTATAATTGGCAGGTACAGTACATTATCACAGATGAACTCTGGATTAGAAATTTAAGTAGCCAAATTATATGTCTACCAGGGTGTAGCAGCAGAGGATAACTGACATGAACATGAGGGACCCTGAGCACACATTTCAAAATACAGGCCAAGGGCATAGGCTGGCAATCAGGTGGTAAGAGATGGTGCAAGTGAAAAGCTGACCCTTAAGGGTGACATCTTGATAAAAATAATAACCACTACTATGAAAAGAGTTTTGAGTTCGATTATTGGCAGGGAAAAGTTGCTTAGAAAATTCAAATCAGTTCAAATCCAGGATGTGTAGGAACTAAAAGTAGGATTTCTTTTGGAGATTGGCATGCGCGCTGCAGCTGAAGTACTGTGGGTCCAGTTATCCTAGGAGAAGTGGGATTTTCTACATTTTATTTATGAAGAGAACCAGAAACTATAAAAAGTTTGATGACTAATTGACAACTACTCAGATTCGAGCTTGGAGGGAAGGGATCCAGCTATTTATTGAGGACTCTTGGTATGTAGAGAATTAGATGTCAGAAAAGAACCAAAAGTGTTGTAAAATCTTTTTGTCTTAGTTGGGTTTTCCAGAAGCTGCCTCTGAGATGACGATTTACATGAAGTGAGTTATTAAGGTAGGGGCGCTAAGGAAGTGGTACGAGGCCTGGCAAGAAGCCAAAAAAAGGTGAGGGACCAGCCAAAGTTCTGCAGTGGGTAGCTTCTGCTTGGTCCTACATGGAGCATAAGTTATTCCCTGGAGCGGGAAGGGAGACATTCTCTTGTTCGCACCTCTGTCAGTCCTTCATTAAGTCCTGCCCTCTGGGAAGTAAGCTTCGTGCAATTCTAGCTCTCCAAGCACTGGCAAATTGCCTTCTAAGAACCCAAGGGAAGTCTGCTTAAAAAAATTAAAAATGTTCACGGGTGCTGGTTGGTGGACATGAAAGCACAGGAGGCCAGGAGGGGATCTGGGCAGAACACTGAGGCTGCCTTATGCTTACAACGGATTGGGAAACTTTTGAAAGGGTGTAAACTGACATCTTCCCTGATGTAAGAAATTAAAGAGAGAAGGTAACAGTAGAACACACAGAGTGAATTCAGAGGAACAGTGACATTAGAGACTTGTTAAGAAAAGTAAAAGCCTAGGTTGCTATAGTGAGACAAGGAAGGGAAAAAATTGCCTTCAAGCCTTCACGGAGATGAGATGGGATGGGATGATGTGGCTACCTGAATCAGGGTGGGGGAAATGGATGTCATTTCACAGAGGGAGCTGTGAGCTTTGGTTGCACCCTGTGTCTAGCTTGAATGTCTCTTTGCATCTTTCAATGAATTCCAAGATCTCAGTTCTGGACCTCAGTGCTCCTTTGAAGCGCTTTTGTGTAATCTGACTGGCTGCCTCTATCCTGATAGAGGTAGGTCACTTTGGAATCAGCAGGATGCCATGCCCTGGAACGAGTCTGTCAGAGAAGGCAGGGCTGGGAGGAATGCTACTGGATGGTAAACTTTCAGCACGGCACTGCAATGCCAAACAGGGGTATGCTGGGGACCAACAGAAAAGGGTAAGGGTGGCTGCAGCTCCTTCCATTGTTCCAAGTTCATGTAGGAGAGTAGAAAGAGCACTAAATTAGAATTTGAGCGACTACAAGTCTCATTCCTGCTCTGTCATTAACCAGCTTTGGTAGCACTGAGCAATTCTCTTAATCTTTATAAGCCTCAGTCTCTGAAATTGCAAGGCAAACATATCTATTACTAGGCAAATCATGTCATGGTAAATGTTAACTATTTCAACTATAAGATTTTAAGGCTGTAACTGTAGATGTTCATTCAAAGATACAAATGAACAGACAAAGCCAAAAAGAATATGAAGGTCATGGACGAGGACAAGGGCTACTAGAGCCCCAAAGACACAAATAGGATTTTAAAACAGTTTGGTTAAAAACAATCAAACAAGCTAAAACAGTGGCCACCAAGATTCAATTTTGCTTTTAAGGAAAAGCCCTGAAGTTAAGTAAGGCCCAACTAAGACTACGTGCAAGTTAATGCTTTATAAAATGATCAAGGTGAGTTACCATTTACTCTCTCCTTACTTGACACCAGAAGCTATTGCCTAATGTTTTCAATTTCTCTCTTCTCTTGTTTTGATCATTACCCTTTTCTTTTTCTCTTAGTTCTTT